TATGGGGTCATTAAGGAACTATTATTGCTGAATCTTTAGGGACCATATCGTAAATGTTTGGTGTGCCTATTAAGGAGGTACACCAGTGAGTCTGTTGCGCATCCATCGCTGGCAGTGCATTGCCATTTGAGAATGAGATATACCCATAATGTTCTCCGGACGAAATCTTGGTCTTATAGACAAACTCCCATTGACTTAGTGTGAGGTCTGTATTTCACCCACAGTAAAGCCTGAGAGCAAATGCGCAGTGTTTTTTCAGAATTAAAGTTTTTTATTCCCTACTCTAGTAGATGTAGGGTAGAGATGGTGCCATTCAATTTGTCCCATTTTGTTTGTTTGCAAAAAGCACCATATGTGCAAAGTAATGTCGCCTTGGCTTGTACTGCCAACTGAGTGCTCTGGTTGGCTAAACAACCTTCTGCTAAAAAAACGTATAATTAGATTGTTTTATTTTAATGGTCATCTTTAATTTCTTCTAGAGAAAAGCCTGCTTTCCTCTTAATGATAGCTTATCTTTTTGTTAGTGCATTGAATTTGTTACTGTTTGCTACCTTAGTTAAATTTACTGTAGAAATTATTGCTGTAATCCACAAAAAAAAAAAATAATTTTCTGGTTAAAAGCCAGGCAGTGAGATATACCATGAGTGTGAACGTCACAACAGACGTAATCCAATAGTATTTTCTTTCTTTTCAGTTAGAGCTCTCTAGAGCTATCTATACTAGCTAAAATTTCAGTTCTACTGTATCTGTAGTTGTGCTATTTCCTTTATTTCACTGCTCCCTTGTTTCCTCCGTTATATTAGCAAAAGTATTTTATTTTAAAGCATTACTGTTACCTCCACAGCTACCTTTCCTGGCAAGTCATGTATTTTTTGTTCCTTTGAAAGTTTTCACTTTGCCATTCTCAAATTATGTTTTAATTTATTTATCTTTGAGCATAAGCTCATCTACAAGGCCTTGATTTTGTTCTCCTAGCTGGGGATCTTTAACCTTAACTGACTAGTTTCTGTTGCATGACAAGATTTCCGTAGCTGGATACAGCACTGTGTTGCATGCTCAGATGCAAGTTCAGATATTTTCTGGTTTCTTTTTAGTGCTTTGCTGTGCGATCTCTGGGCTGGGTAGAAATGGCAGAAGAAGATCTGGCTCCTGGAAAAAGCAGTGTTGCTGTGAACAATTGCATCAGACAACTCTCTTACTGTAAAAACGACATCAGAGACACTGTTGGCATCTGGGGAGAGGTAAGAACAGAGTGAACTTCTCCTCCTCTTGGAACATCCCTCTTGTGTCATAAAACATCTTGAAAGAACAACTCTGTAAGCAAATAAGTCCGTGCTCTGTGTTTGGGATTTCCCCATCCTAGCTGGCACTGCCAAAAAATATAAACGGGTTCAGGGAAAGTGTTGACGTTTTTGTTCCAAACTGCTCAGGACAGCAGATGCCACAAAGATTTCACCTTCATGTTTACATCTGTGCTAGTACACACCTGTGCAATAACGGTGTTGAGACACACAAGCCAAACTGTTGAAATCAGCGGAAGTCTTTCTCCTGACCAGAGGTTTGAGGGTGGTGCTTTGGACCAGCATTTTCACAGGTTTCCCAGTGACAAAAGGGCTTTAAGGAAACCCAGACCGGTGTGACCCATGCTTCTGAAATGTATAAGAAGATTGAGACTGACAGACAGATGGCTTATTTTAAGATTATTATTTTATCGGTGTTTCAGAAAGAAATTAATTTTATGTCATCAGTCTGTCTGTTGGTTCCTCTCCAATAACTCTTGAATCTGTTAACCAGTGTCATCCAGTTTTGAAGGATGCCAGATTCCCACACACTGAAGGAAAAACAGAGAGCCCAGATGTTCTCTTTCTTGGTTTGCTGATGGGTCAGTACACCTTCACCAACTGAACCGTGCAAGCTCTGTGCTTCTTTCTGAATTGGCAGCAAAGACAGGATAATGCTATGGGAGCTCAGGGGGAAACATAAAGGAAGCCAGAGGTATTGTGGTTTGGAAAAGAGGTGTGCTGGGGACAGATGAAGGAGTGGAAGGTGTGGAGGGATCAGTAAGTGAAAGAAGAAGAAAGGAAAAGGTGGGGTTATAATGGTGGGACATACAGAGGACATAGGAGACAAACCCATAGAAAAACGTCTTCGTTATTTGATTGTTCGTGGAACAACTTAAACTTCAGCCAAATCTTACTCTTTACATCTCTCCTGATATGTTTTCAGGAGGATTACACTAACGTGGATTTACTACACAAGGTCTGAATGCAAAAGTGATGTAAGAGTGAATGTTGTAACTTTCACTTT